GCCTGGCAACATCCCATTTAGTTTACGCCACAGCTCGGAACAGCCAAGAGCACAAGGATAGAAATCGATTCTCCACAGAAAAAAGCAAGAAGTGTAAGTTATTCAGAAGGAGCAATTCCTTCCTCTGTCAACCTTGATCTTTTGGGTTTACGTAAACAATCCTAGCCACATAATGTAAATAACCCCCAAAACGACAAAATTAACAAGCTAAATAAAATGCCTATTTCTTTCATGGGCGATTCACTTCTGCAAACCTACGTCATCAGCAGGTAAAGTTCGCTGTATTGGTTGTTTTTTTATCAATCATTCAGTGGTGCGCGAACAATTTTAAGGTTATTTTTAGTACGCGACACTGCCACAAATAAAAGTGGAAATTGACAAGAGTTGGTTGGCCTGGGGTTGACGATATCGTTTTTAGAAGAACCGGGAGCGAAATCAATAGTTTTGTCGCGAATTCAGCAGATTACAGTCCCAGATCTCACCCCTTGCATAAGATAAGATGTAAACCAATTAAAACGGGTAAGCGGACTGCATAAGTTTAGAACAAGAAACGTTTCAACTTGTCTTTCTGATTTAAGCCTTAAACATCGAACTTCCTACCAGTACTGAAAATAATATTTATTCATAGTTAAAAACAATCATCTACTATACCTTTTGTAGACTGACAAACGTATTGGTTGAGTTGGAGAACACCGAAAGAATAAGACACCGGTAGGACGATGGACGCTGTTCACTTTCCCTCAACCAGCAAAGAGTACAAAAAAGCAACAGCGATAGTTTTTGTTTTTCAAAATCACAGCCCACAGTAAAATAAAAAAAAGTACGGAAGAGACTTGAAAAGCGGGCAAGGAAGAAAAAGAAACGATATCTTGAAAATGTAAAATTTTTGAACATGAAAAGGAAGGATGACTTGACGGTGAAAACTACATTACTTCCTCGACTTATGACCAAACGACTGTGTTAATTCGGGAGACAAGAACAGAATCTCATCTCGAGTTTAAACCGCGTGACGACGCAGAAACGTTGTTGTCCATTTTGTTCATGGGGAATGATTATATTCTATTTCTGCCGAACTGCTATGGTGCCCTCCTACGATGCTGGTTCGCTCAAAACATGGAATGCAACCACTGCACGAACGGGAATGAAGGACAATGGGGTGATACAAGACAGCGTGGGCCCGTAAAAGAGCAAAACATATTTTTAAATTTTACTTGAAGGCTACAAGAAATGGGATTCACTTCTTCTGCAGTAACTCTGGAGTCCCTCTGGAGTATGCTATTAATGAAAAGAGGTGTGCCTAATGTGGAATATATATAAAATAATGCAAACCGAAATAACATACAATAGGTCTGGTAATATATATCCTTTCATCTTGGTTATTGGAGAACAAACAATAAAGTACTAGCTAAAGTAAGTACATTTATAATTACCAAAAATATTACTACATTTTCTCTTTTTTGTTTTAATACATCACAATACGAAGTGATCATTCAACACAGCACAATCGATGTTCTAAAAATGTTGTTTTGAACTAAGATTTGTGGAACAATATTTAGTTATAAAATCCTACTCTAAAAAAAATTTTTAGAAAAATACATCAAACACATATTTTTGCACAACTTTGACTACACGGCAGAAGTTATTACTTTCTAGCTTTCTAATTAGACCAGTGTCCTCGAAGGCGCATTTCACCGATATACTTACCGACCGACATCCTCTCTTCATCGAAATCGGTTCTGGGATGGCAATACTACGTCACGGGGTTTGCGGTTCATTCAGTCGCTTACCACAGCTCTGATAAGACTGTTTTTATACAGGACAGTATTGACCAGCACACTGTTTACAAACAAGCCCTCATATGCCCACACCAGGTGTGGGCATTGCGCGTGCGCACAAACAAGATTCGCCTGTGGCGAAGAATCTGCGCATGCGTAGTGCCGCCAGCAGCGCCACCGCACTGGTGTTACATCAAAGAACTGAGTTTGTCTATATATAATTTTTCTTTTACTACCATTCAGTGAATACCCTTCGGTAAACGTATTTTTCTGCTTTGGAACGAAAAAATAATGAGAGGATTTCAAATCATGTCTCTTCTTCCCTCGCATATACCCTAGCTGTTTTCTTTTTATGATTTAACGTGCGCTCTCCGTCTTAGGGACAACTAAAAAGTTCATAGGAATAAAAATATAAATACAAATACTTAAAAACATATATTCATCACTCAGGCTAGAGGAGACCTTGTCACTGATGGCATTCCAGCACGTGAGCCAAGCACACCGGAAAAAACACATAAAAAGAGTTTTTTTTTTTTTTTTTAATTTCACAAACAACGAAATTTCAGTTAGGACAGAAAGACTTCTTAAACATCAAAAAGATCAGCGGGCACATAAAAAGCTAATTCGCAGGACGCAGCATTCATGACAACGACAAAACGACAGGCTTCCTTGATGACTATCCAAAATGTGTAAAAAAGGACGTCATTTCAAGTCATTTCAGCACGCATCGTTCGAAACAAAGCAACGGAAACACGAATATCCGGCTAAAATCTCCAAGAAAGTATTGGAAGACTCCTTTCCACTGCATAAGTTCTCAGCCATCTATTCTCATGGTCAACACAATATTCATTTTCAGTCGAATAGACTTATATCTTGAAACCCTGGAGCAAAGTTTTGTGTTGTTTTACCATAGCCTGCTCTGTCGCAGACACTTTACGTTCGTTTTAAATATTATTCTTAACTGCGGTTAAATACATTTTAAAGTTGGAGGGAAAAAACACGCATTGTGTATTTAGTATCATTTTTTGTTTTCTTGACTACAATTTTAATAAAACTAATTGTCAACAACTGTCTATCATCTTAAGCATCGTTACAGTTATATAATAAATTGTTTCAGAGGATTATCTCATCGGGAACTCGACTTATTTCCGGACCTACACGTAAGAATTTCGAACGAAAAAAACGAATGAAAAATATTATTACTGATTTTAATTTTGTTAAAACGCAGCAAGTGCGTCTCAGTTAAATTATATTATAAGGAGCAGCAATCAAAACTCATACGTACACAATTTACCTTCATTGAAACTTAAACAACTTTTTTTTTATGTAATCGTGACACTGGAGATGTAAAGTGATAGCCTATGGTAAAAGGAAGAAAAGTACGGTCCCGGCGGCTAGCACCTTTCCTTTGCGTTATTACAAGTAATGTTGAACTCACTGTCTAGCTTTCAGTCGCGCAAATATACAGTCACGTATAAATTTCGTTCCAGTCAACACAGCGCGTGATGTGTCTACCCCGCTACTAATGCTGGCGAGTTCTCGCATCACTCCGCAGAGTAATCTTCGTGTGACTCACACAGCTCACGGTGTTACCGCAGCCTCCGACGTAAGAGGAAACGTGTGCGTTGGGTTCACAAAAAGAAGCACATTTAGATTGTCTGATTTCCTTCTTTCATGCCTCCAACTGTAATTGACGCAAAACGGTTCGCGTGACTTGTTTCACTACGTGTCTTCACCAATGGTTTTCAGCCACGTTTCTTCACAAGAAAACTGCTTAAGAAAGAAGTCATTTTTTTTTTCATTTTATTTGACGTGCGCAAAACAACCATGCAGATATCCTCTTTGGTGCACACATATATAAATATGAACAGAAAAAAATAAGAACGAAAATTGCAGGGTTTAAACACGAAGCAACAAACACACAATATTTACAGTTAGGCAACAAGAACTTCCACTTGGTTCCTGAACACCTTAATGTCACTGTATGTCAAGTTCGGCATCTTTAATATTGATAAACATAGATTGTATCCGTGACAAAGGAGAGGGTTTACAGATGGTGTGAATGCTGAAAGTACTGCGGGTCCTAGTCATACCATACAATGTTGTTTGCCGTCAAATTATTTTCAACTGATGACCTTCCGAGTAGGCCTGATTTTCCAACTGCATCGCAACCTATTACTTTGTTTCTAAGACAGCTGGGCTTTATTACCCAGCCGTATTGTTTCCCGGCAAGGAACGCTTTTCTAACCAGCCGAAGTTACACACTTATAGTAATTAGGAGCATTACTTCAGTATAATAATCGCCGTGTACATCACTGTATAAATATTTAATATATTATGAGTTCAGCATCACTATTACTTGATTTACAGACTTATACCGGCTCTTTGTTTTTAAATTATTCCTAACTTGCATTCATATCTTGCATCCTGTGAAACAAAAGCTAAACGCTTTTTGTGTCAGAAGGCCTTTTGCCTTTTGTGTTAATGAATAAATGAATTAATCCATCAATCAGTTTATTTATTTTTAAGGCTCAAACAGATTTTCATTGAAAGGTTCAAGAAGGCGAGACTGTGTCGCTTGAGAGGCTACCAATAATATACGAATGATTCCAGTGCCTTGGTAAGCAACGAACACGAGTACAAATACCTTGATATTTAAAAAAGCGCAATAACGTAATCTTTTTACTACTAGTAAAGATAGAATTTATGTTTCACAAAGCTACCAGACCGAAACTGGAGATAATGTAGAAAAATCAAAATAAGATATAACAGGAAAGAATGACAAGGCTCAACATTACATTAGGGAGATTTTTTTTTTCTATTTCAATTTGCACGAGCATTGAGTCTCCGTCCTGTCAACGTACGGAAACTCCCCTCGTGTGAGAGCGAAAACCAGTTTGCCTAAACGCCGCCGTTTATGGTTGAGGACATGCGCGTGGAAAATGGAAAGGTGGGACACTAAGTGCAAGAAGGGGGGGAGGGGGGGGCGCGACAGAAGATTCACCCTCGAGGGTACGAGCAAAGAAAGGAAAACAAATTTCTATCGCCCGTTTTATTTGTATCCGAGTGCGTGTGTGTCTTTCAAGGGTGACGCACACAACACGTAAGTGGCCGAAGTAACGCGGGAACTCCTCGTGAGCAAGGTCACCCGCTTCGACGCCCGCCTCAAGGAAACCGCGCAAACTGCGACTGTACATAAAAGGGCGCCAGCAAGTTTGGGAAACCAGCATTTACTCTGAGAAGGTGTTGGTTAAACATCTCGTGCACTTCGATCAAGATGATGAAAGCAAGTTTAATTTTTGCTGCTGCTGTTGTGCTGGGTGAGTAGATGCGATAGCGATTTCACACATTGCAGGTCAGGGAAAGAGAAAGGGGAGTTTCCTCTTAATTTAAAAAAATCCACGGGAAGCAAATTTATTTACAGCTTTGCATATGTTATTGGTAATTTAAAACCGATATTTATTTAAATATATATTTTACTTCTTTTATTAACAACCAAGCGTATCGATACATTTTCATTTGAAGTTGTGTCATTTGTTTTTGATACCTACTTGGCAGATCATTTTCTAGTTGGGAAGTGCTTACTGATACAAACGTAATTTGCAAGATCTAATTCAGGTTAAACAAATATGCAAATAAAGTACTAATTAGGAGAGTGATTCGTTTTTTTAATAAGGCCTCTGAACCGAGCAATTAAATTATCCGTCAATTATATTCAGAAATATTTCTTTTCCAAAAACTCATTTTTATTTTTAGAAACAAAATTCAATCGCACGTTTGTCGGTGGTGCTCCTTTAGGTACTTTTTCTCAGCAGAAGTACATGTCATATACTATTTATATGCTGGAAAAATTTCACTATCAAGATAAATTTAGTTTATAGCAACGAACTCAAAAATATTCGTTCCTACACTAGTAATGAAACTCCGCAAAGCAAGATGATAACTCTTGCTTTTGTTCGACTTGCATCATTGCATTATTGGCGCATATGAACGTCTCCAGACAGCTTTTATTTAAAGGCGTTACGTTGAAAGTAAAAAATACATAGAGTATTGGAACTTAACAATATTTTAGCATAGTCGGACAGCAATTTCTAAAAGTGTGATATATAAACTTCTGTTTTCGAGTCATCCATGCTTATCACATACTAAGACTTTCGAACATTGTTTACGTTGACAAACATTTTAGGAAGCGTTTGTCTGAAGATTAATGAACACAATTTGTTTCTTGCGTTCTGATTAACGGCCAATGTATTCTTTTGCAGGTATTTTTGCAGAATCCTCTGCAGCACTCATGACAACTGATCCAAAGTGCCATCGGCTACGAACCGCCGTGGTAGGACTTTGAATATAAATACATTATCTACGCTTGAGCGATCTTCGGAAGGTATAAACCACGAGACTAGAACGTTTTACGAAACCGATGTTAAAGTATCCTCATGGCTACTACAATTGAAACGCCGTTAGAGCGCAGTAAAATGTTATCAACATCTTTCCAGCAGAATATGTAAATCGTTGATATTTCGCCCATTTACACCCACCGGCGCAAGTTAACCTAGCATAGAATGGTTTACTTATCATACTTCGTACAAACATTAACATGAAAACAATTGGCCTAAACAATCAGTTTGAGATGTTCTAAGTGAGCGGTAATTTAAAGTCACTATTACGCAAATATGTTTTTATTAGACAAGCAGTTTTTGCCAGTTTTCTTAGAGGCAATGCCTTTAACAAGGCTCTGCAAAATATTTTTCCGTCAACCTCGGTAGGCGCTAACCTGTCGCGTTAAAGCAAAACGTATTATGTCTATCTAATTAACGTTTTGTCTACAATTCGCATATAGAATTCTCACTTCTACTATATAACGTCCTTGGTTAAGAAGAACAAATAAGGACAAAAGGAAAGGAGGAGATAGTTCGTCTTAACTACGTATTTTTTTATTTATGTTTATTTTTCGAACAGAGTAGAGCTCGCCTTTAAGAATATAGCTAGCCGTCACCCATATGATATACAAGTACAGGTGGATAGCCTGATGGAACAACCGATTCTAGAAAGAGTTTTTTTACGGCGTTTTACGAGCGTATTTGTACAAATTACAAATCTTAAGATATAACACAGAAGGGGAACGGAACCGACGAAATATTCTTGAAGTGCTTCGCCATTTATGTCCCTTTGTGTTGTCTTCTTTTGTAAATTGTTCTTCATAAATTGTCAATACATGTAATGCATTCGATCGGCAAGACATGGACACCTGTAGAAAATAAGATTTTGTTTGTATGGATGAAACACGTTGTTGTTGATTTTGAAAGTAAACGAAAAAGAGTATATAATGAAGCTTGGAAATTTTTTAACCTCTGCCATTATTGCTATTGTTTGCTATTTTCGTAAAAAAAATAATTAGGGTTAATGTTCGCATTCAACTTTTGCCCTGATTTCTTTTGATTCACCTTAGTCAGCATAAGCCCTACAAGCACAACGTTGTCGTCACTTTTTAAACCTTGTTTGTTATAATAATTGCTTACGACCTTTCTTCCTTCGTACTTTTATTGGGGAATTCTAACATTCAAGTATATATCCATGATAGGATGCCCATTCATTTGAAGAAAAAAGATTAACCAAACATATATGCGGATCACATTTACGTATACACCACGCGTTATCACCAAAATTGAGCTCACTCAGTGCACTTACTACCACAAGGAATTGCTTATATTTTAAAGCAAGCCATCCAGACCAGGCTTTAATACGGTATATTAAGAGCGTATTGTATCATGGTTTCCAGGACCAGGTCAGGAAACACTGCGTCTACCTCTGCCACATGCCTGAGGGTCACATTAGGATGGGCATCGAAGAGGACGGTACACCCTGCAAGGTAAATAAATTATAATGTTGCTCCACTTTATGCTCAGTTCGAGTGCACCCGACGCCATATTTCAATGGAGCCAATCCAGAAGCTTAAAAAGTGCACTGTCAGGGCGCTCGCCCCTTTTTTATTTTGCGTTTTCTATCATCGGATAAGCCAATCAAGAAAAAAAAGCAAACAATCACGATGTGTTGACTGTGAATGATTGGTTTACTTTGTGAAAACAAACGCACAAAGACGACCATCGCAGTGACAATGCACTTTCGTCGCAGATTAATTGGCTTCACAGGACCATAGAGTAGGCTGCGCTCAGAGATAGTACTAAACGGAGTAAGCAAATATTCCATATACCAACCATCCAAAGAAGAGTGTTAAGCAAAAAATTACCCTGAAAAGGTCAGTGTTGATTTCAGTCATTAATGAGGTTTGTTCTGCATTTATTGTTTTTTTTTTCTTCAAATTGTCAAATTCCTGAGCGGCAGAAATATCATTAACGGTGCATAATTTCGTGCGACCGCACCAAGAATACGTTTATACAACATGCGGATGTTGTTCGCATGTCTCACGTTGCGTCTCGCGTATCAAGCACGTTTCCTCGAACGTGGTGGTGCTCATGGAAACGTGCTTGACACGCGAGACGACAAGTTATTTTCTTGTATAACGGGAGCTGAACTAGATTGGAGCGCATGTTCGCTGTTTTTCCTCTGCAGTTCCTGCTTCACGAAGGCGTCTGCACCCGCGGCTTGTGCGCGTTGAAAAAGCTCAAAAAAGACCATCGTCACAAGCATCACGATGGCGGCGATGACGGCAAGGATGTCGACCTTGAATCTCTAGCAGAAACTATCAAGGACATGACCAAGAGCAAGTCTAAAGCCTCCCTCGATGAATAACGCAACCTGCGAGTATTGAGGCGTGCGTAGACGAACCAGACGATTGAAAATTTCAGATGTTCCTTCGGATTCCGGATTTACAATTTTATAGTGATAACGTAGCCAAAGGTATACTCGTCGCCATAACTTAATACGTCTTTTTTTTTTGTAGATGCAAATGAATAAAATTTATCTGAAAACTTTATTACACCTTTTTCCTTTGTAATCTCTGTAAAGAAGTGCATTGCTCTCTTTTTGTTCTGGTGGGCTTGTTCCTGTGCAGGAATGTAAATAGCGTAATATAAAATGAACACTAAAGCGGAAAGGGGAAAAGGTTTTGTCAAAGACGCAATATATACTCACGACTAACATACTCCACCTATAAATTTGTAAAACTATGCTTCATAAAACTAAATCGCGATGAAGTTAAAACCTCAGCGGGGTCTCTATTTTTTTCCTATACTTCTTGTGCTTGAAGGTGGTGGTGTTCGGTTAGAATTGCATCGCCTTCACAACAAACCAGTCTGAAATCTCCAATTTTCTATACTCCGGAATAAACAGCTACGTGTTTGTTTAAAGCAATACGAACTGGGATTAACAAAAATATATTTCTAGTTTACCACAGAACCCTAGAAAAAAGTGAGGGGCTCGTGTTTTTTGAGAGCTTTGCAATAAACTCAAATAAAAAGCGAATAATACCCCACTTGACACAGGCAGCGCCATCTCACGACTGACAGACGCAGCTCAGAAGCAAATATCTCTTCTGAGAGTCAATAGAGGGAGGGACGAGTCCGTGATGTGTAGAATTCCTGTTCCGACGCAGCCAGAGTTGCGCGTTCATCTCCGTAGCGCCGTCTTTCCTGCACGGCATGTTGATCTCACTTTGTCACGTGACTGATTTCGGCGAATCGCGGCGCCGCGTGTTCTAGGCGCGCGGCGCGCTCAAAAGCAGGGGAACGTACACCGGGACGCGTGCAACGTCTACTTTCCTGCACGGCACTTGATCCGGGTCCTCACGTGATCGGATCTCGGCGAATAGCGGCGCGGCGGCACGTGCAAAACTTGCACGCAACTCTGGCTCCCGTAGGGAGCCTATACAGGAACTCTAGTGATGTCGAGAGAGGATAAAACCATCGAACACATCGTCCTCTCATGATCAAGCCTGCAACCAAGGCATCCGTTGCAGTGGTATCACGCCCCGCTCCTGAAAACGTACAGAAACCGGAACAGGCCTTTCCACAAGCCAGCTGCTGGTGGGAGCACTCGGATTTGAATCACCTGTGACGAGGTCAGTGCTGAGCGCGTGTCAAGACAGAGATGATGCTGCTATCCCTCAAAGTAAGGTTGAAACGCGCTCCGCGGCGTCCACGAACCGTGTTGGACAAAGCCGGGAAGCGACCGAAACAACGAAAAGGAGACTGAAGGATTGGTGGCTAAGGACAAGAGCAAAGTGAACGCGAGAGACAAGGGGAAAGCGAAAGGAATAAATACATTTCTCGTTTAATATATTTTTGGGGGGCTAGGTACGACCATGGTTTGGAACCGCCCTATTCAAAGCGAACAGCTACAACATCATCATCACCACTACCAGCCGGTTTCTTTGCTTCGAGACACTGACGACTTTCTGGTGTACTGCGCAACGCGTTATATCGGAGGGACGGCGGCGGTTATTTGAGCTACGCAAATTAAACGCATTTTATGGAATATCCAGGCTTTACTCTTTACGGCATGCTACACATTGTATTTAAATGGAATAGAGCTATTGGGATAACTGCAAACAAATGTGATGCCAAAACCACGATTAAAATTGTACCGCTCTCTTCAGTCGAGTGACGTCACATGTCGTATAACTTGCAGGCCGAGTTGGCGGCCTTGAAAGGACAGCATTTTGGGCGTATTCTTTTTGTTGTTTTTTTCTCGTGAGCTTCCTCAGCCTTCAATTAAGAGCACTGAACTTCTTGTAACCCGTCAGGATCAGGCTATTAACGTTTGCAAGTACGGTCTCTGGGCGCCGCCTTTCTGATGCAGGTGTGGGCAGATCGTCTGATAGTCAAGCATTGCTGAGACTTTGGGTATGCTACGGCAACGCTTTACTATCAGATGATCTACCCACAAAAGCAGCAAAATGGTAGCGCCTGGAGGCCGTACTTGCAAACGCCTCTACACTGCCCCATATTGCCCCATATTGCGACACTAACCTCACATCTTCAGTGTTGTCAGTAGAATTTGTCAGCCTCTCAGAACAACTTTGAACCTCCAATAGCTTCGCGAAAAAGAATTAATGTGTCTTATCATCCGGTCACCAGTTCAGATCAGTCTATTAATTTGTTAAACCAAATTCGAGGCAGATCAGTGACCATCAGGATTTCGCCCTCAATACACTCGTCAAGTTAACATATTACAGTATTGTACGCATACCTCGGCATTCTCACTCATGAGTGCGATCACTCACGATCACTCACGCTCACCATCAGATTTGAGGTGATCGTGAGTGAGGCCGCGAGTCTCTAAAAATTGTGAGTGTGAGTGTGAGTGTGATCGTGAGTTACGTGAACTTATGAGTGTGAGTGTGAGTGTGAGTCCTGAGAACTGATGAGCGTGAGTCTGATCGCGAGTGTGATCGCGAGTTCTGAGAACTAATGAGTGTGAGTGCGTGTGTGAGCCCTGCGAACTTATGAGCGTGAGTTTGATCGTGAGTGTGATTGTGAGTTCTTAAAACTCTTTGAGTGTGAGTGCGAGTGTGAGCCCTACGAACTCATGAACGTGAGTTTGACCGTGAGTGTGATTGTTAGTTCTTAAAACTCTTGAGTGTGAGTGTGAGCTTGAGCGCTAAGTGAAGCACTCATGAGTGTGATTGTGAGTTTCGAGGCTCATGAGCATGAGCCTGAATCAAGACGTGAGTCTTTGGGTGGATATGAGTCCGGTGATCGCATTAGTCTGCGTGATGGCGTGAGCCTGAGGACCATGGCCAGGATGAGTCGCGGTGAGCGCTGGTATGTTCATAGCTGGGTTGGTCACGTGAGCTCCCGGGCCGTCTTAGTGGGCGAGGAGACTCTCGCTTCGCAACTACTGCGTGGGGTTCGGGCCTTCAGGGTTGGTTTGGGTGTCGCTCGCCTGCTCCTTCGCCATGTGAACGCGCCGGTTCCTGTGGAGGGCGGAGGAGGGGGGGGGGGGGTGCTTGTTCTTGCAGGCTCCTCCTTGCCAGCGCCCTCCGCAATGTCTCAACCAGCTGTAGAGGGCAGAGGGGGTATGAGGAAAGGGGGGGGGGGGGGTCGCTTTTGTTTCTCCTCGGCGTTCGCTCTTCGCTTCACGGTAGACTGCGAGACGCCGACGGACTGACGGCGCCTCGAGGCGGCGCGGTAACGTCGGAGTTGGGGCAGCGCTCCAAACGGCTAGCGCTCCTCTCTCTGTGGCATAGAAAGGTTCGTGTGGATTTCGGTTCCTGTTGTCAAGTTGGTGTCAGTGGGCACAGACTTTTATGATTGCGTCAACTATAACGTTCGCACAGCTGCGATAAAATTAAATAACTCGCATGATCCTCATCAGCACCCGGAATTTTATTTCTCCGCGCACCTCAACGTACCTTTCGCAATGAGTCATCACTCAGGAAGTGCGACAGAGGCGGCGTCATGATCGATCGAAGCTTCGAGTGAGGTCTTTCACATTGTGCGATATCATGCTTTTAAGTGTTGTTTGGGGCAAGATGGCGCAAGTGCATGACAGCCAGCCGGCAATGGCCAGGCGGCGCCACGAGAGTGCTACATTCGGCGCCACAAGCGGAGCGGTCTCTCTTAATGGGTCGGCCAGCGGCTAGTCTGCCCGTCGGGCCGTGGCGAGCGGCGACGAACCCGATTTCAGCAGTCCCCGTGTGCACGTGCGCGCCATGTCCCTTTTTATTTTATGCGGTTTTTTAAGACCATCGGGAGCCTTGATAGGTCCAAGCGTTGAGAGCATAATCTGGAGCTGTCATTTGGACACCTGTTTGAACTGTCTTCGTGCGCTTGCGGCGTCGCTCTATAATAATCGCCGCCCGATCGGTCTGTGCTTCGCTCGTCTCCCAGGAAGTGACACAACGCAATGAGAAGGCAGCGAATGGGTTTACTGTACTTCCCGGTTGCCCGTCTTCGAGAGCCGGCAGTCCGGACCCGCCGACCCTAGTTGTCGCCCGTCGTTCATAGCTGGCAGTCAGAGTCCGTGTCCACGCCTGCGGATCGTCCTTCCCACGCACTGCGTACGCTAGCTGTTCCGGGCTATCACAGCCAGAGTTTCGCTGCAGAACCACTCCTGGATCGCAATGGACTAGGCCGATAAGGCCAGGCTCGCCGTTTCCGCCGGTCCTGATCCGAAGCTTGCTGGTGGAACGCTCCGGGGACCGACATGGGCCGGACCAGCCAGAACGGCTCTATCGTTCCTGCCCGGCCCCAGCCTCGTGCAGCACGCTCTTCCTCTTTCCTCGCCGGCTGGCCCCCGCTCGCGCTTTGCTCGACCGTCTTCTTCTTCTCTAGACGCCCCCACGACACTAGAATAAAATGTGGGTAATTAGAACCAAACTCTCCGTGCTAGAAAACAGCGCACAAGTCTGGCGACAGGCAAAGAAGTGTGCGTGTGAGAAAGATATTTACGCTTCGCATAAGCTTTTTCTAGAAAAAAAAAAAATTGCATAATGTTTTCTGCACGCCGTCACATTTGTTACTAGACTCAGCATTAAATTTGGTAGCCGAAACAAACAAAAATTTGTTCTACGAAAATCCACTATTTAAAAACTTGCATGCTTAAAAGGTTTTGGTTGCGACCGCGCGTGCCGAACGGCGCGCGCGGTCGCAACCAAATGCACGCCTACAACTACGAGTGCCGGAACAGGTCGAAGGGCATCTCGCTTGAAGACCTGATCGCCTGATTCTCGACGTCAAAGCGAAGCAACAATCGGCCCAATTTTTCCTACTGTATTTCTCTAAATGGTTTGTCTCAGAGACTCGTAAAAAAACTAGTATAAATACGTTATTTTGCAAAAGGAGTCTGTCAGACCACTTTTCAAGCCTGCACATCTATTTTCGTTCACTTCAACAATAATGTAAAATACACTTACTTGATGCATCGCACTCCAGTAATCCACTTTGTCGCCGTGTCGCTTCCCAAGGTCTTAAAAGGAAACGGTAAAGTCTGACGCCTGGGTCACCTGCACGACCGTGGCAGTCTTTCACGCAG